TCTAGCCACGACCCCCCCCCCCCCCCCCCCCAAACGCGACAATGCCGCTTCCAACGACGCGATCCTTCCTCTCGTATGCCCTCAGCTGCAGCAGCAGCTCGATATCCCACGAGAAATCTCTAAGCTAGACCACAGTGACATGGCGACCATGCCTATTCGAAGCTGCCCGTCCTGTAACCAGTACCACGACAGCCGCAAGGGTTACTGATAAGAAGTGGTTTAGCGGGTTGATCAGAGTAGCGATGGCGCCTATGCCTATAATACCTCGACCTCTCTGCGTGCGGCCTCATCAGTCGCAATCAACCACTACCTTTGTGACAGCCATCACAGTCAGGCTAGGTAGGCCTGGCCGACTCTGGCGCAAGAGGTCGATCGATGCTGCTTTCTCTTCGTGTTGGGGCTGTTCCCTCCTTGTTCTTGGAGACGAGTGCATCCGGTCGACCTTGTCATTGAGGTCGCGAGACCCGTTCGCTAAAGAGGAGACAATGCGACGTGGATGTTTAAGAAACTAGCCCCTCGCGGGCCGAGCCGCCCAAGAGGTCTCGGTCGGTGCTCTCGCGCCAAGAGTGCCGCTGAACAAAGAGGTGGCAGGTGGTGAAAAGAAAGATGGGCGAAAAGCTTCTTCTAAGTGGTGAAAAAGAAATGTATATGTATATATATTTAGAAAAAAAAAAAAAAAAAAAAAGGCGAGAGTAACAGATGATACCTAATAGCAGAGCCAGATAATCAATTCTTATCTTGATCTTCCGCTCCTCAAATCTGTAACATAGGTAGACCAGCCAGCTCCTCGCTGTCAACCCGTGACGCAGTCTCGCGCCTAATTTAAGCGAGGAGTGATAAACAACGCTTCTTGATATAAACAGCCAGGGTGGGAAAGAGGATACCACATCCCAGGACTACGAACAGGATAGAAATCAGAAGTAGATAGCAAGGGTGGGAAGAAGGACAGCAGAGAGAAGAATGCGTGAACAGGGTTAGAATCCAAGCTATATGTTTCGAGGATTTTTCACCTCCAGGCTGCTCTCTCTTATCTGTATGCGCTCTTGCGGAACGACTACACACACACACACACACACACACATACACACACATACATACACACATACAGTTCAGCCCGAAAGCACCGAGGAGACCACACGACGACGACGACGACGACCACCACCACCACCACCACCAGCAGCAGCGAATCGGCAAAGATGTGCAAGAGGGGCCACTTCACGCATTCCTGTTCTCACCAGATCCGAGGCTACGCAATCTGCGCCGAGTTCAGGGAGCGCCTTGAAAACGGCAGCACCAGCTCCCCCGAGCAATGCGGCCATTACCAGGGCTGGACGAACGTCTTCATCGGGCACCGCAACTTCGACTGCCACGTGTGTCGCTCGAGCTACTGGTGGAGCTGCTTCGACTGCTGCGGATGCGGAGAGTGAGCGTCGTGACCGCGACGGCTGAGAGGGGAAGAAAAGAGACGCGGAGAGTACCTGGTCTGATCTTCTGGTGTCTGAATCTGGCCGCGGTGGGAGCTGGACTTGGGCAGTAAGTAAGTAAAGTAAGTATCTTGGGATGTGTGAGTATTAGGGATTGGTTTTTGGGGAATGAAGAGATTTGACAAATAGATTCTCCCGCTGGGAGTGAAATGTAAGAAAATGTGAGCAGCCCTGAATGCAGAATGCGAACAAAGCTCATGGGGCTGCGGCCTCCTCGCTAATTAAGCAACTAAGCGCTTCGTTTAACTCGTGTCTCATCTGAAACTTCATGTCCAGTCCACCGCGTCAATGAACAGCCCTCAGCACAGCATGCAGAGCAGTCGCCAAGGACTAGAAAATAATCCTAGAGGTAGAGAATAGCAAAACACGGGTGTTCCCATCGCTGTCAGAAGTCTCATTCTATCTTATCTTATTAGCTTCAGCTAACACCAGACCTATCCCGAGATATACCAGCCAAGTTTCGACAACAACAACAACAACAACAACAACGATAAAAAAACCAACTCTCCTCCCAAACAAACAAGCAACAACTCTCTCCCCGTAATTTATCTCAGATAGAAACAGTACTACTGATATTGTACTCGCGCCGGGCCCAACACCAACATCCTATCGCCAGGCGAGTATCGCCAGCATATCCTCAGACAACGAAGGAACACCAACCGTATGAGAATGAGCAAGCGATGCGATGATGGCATACTTCCAACAGCAGCAGCGAGCGAGGCTTTGAGAGTCTCAATGGCTACTGTTGCTGCTGCTGCTGCTGTGAGATGTGCCTGCTTGCCGGTGATGTCAGACGAGAGAGAGAGAGAGAGAGAGCGTCTGCAGTTCGAGCACGGTGCGTCTGCGCCGAGGAGAGCCAGAGAGATGGCCAAACAGGCAGTGGCTAAGGTGGAGAAGGCTGCTGAATGAAGCCAAAGAGGAACAATGCCGTCTTGGAGATGTAGCTAGCTGTGTGCGCCTTTCTTCAAACCATGCCGGCTAGTCGGCGGAAAAGTCACATGATACATCCCTGAATATCTAGACTGGGAAGAGACGAGAAGTGCCGCCGCATGGGACTGACGAGAGTTTCGAGAAGCCGGGTGGGGAACTACCTCCTTGCTCCAGTCGGTACGCTACGAAGGGATTGACTTTGGGAGTGGCACTGGGTATGGGGATCGTAGTAGAGAAATCCATATGATTTATTGTGATTATTGTTAGGGCGGACGGATATTGATCTAAGCTTTGTGATTTGTGAATGCCGCGTCTCTCCCTAATTTTGTCTGCGGCCTAACGATAAAGAGAGTTGGATCGGAAACAAGACATTGTCTAGTCTCTGCTCTGGCAAGAAGAACAAAGAAAGTGCAAACATCTGCAAGAGAATGACTGGCGCTGGAACCAATAGATAGACAGCTCGGCTTAGGTTGCCAGATACCTCCCATAATCTCTTATCCACGGAAAAAGGGCAATACACGTCGTTGCCTTGAATCCGGGTTAAAGAAGAGCGAGTGTACTACGTACAAGCTTTGGCCACAGGTTTGCCTCTCTTTATTTTAAGATTGTGGAACCCAAGACTTTGTGACAGGATCACAGAGAAGGACAAAGTGTTGGATAAGTGGTCAAGGCTCGTAGGACAGACGCAATATCGGCAGCCTCTCCGCGGGCCTATTTTCTCCCCCTCTGGCCCGAATATCCCAGCCCAACCATACTACCTGTTTGTACAGCTCACCGCTCAGCCGGCGTAGTGACCACTACCGCCACTATGCGAATTGGGTTCCCGGTGCAGCAAAGGATTCTGGACTACAGACCAGACATCACTCAGAAAAACATCCAGCCAGAGTCGCCAGATAGTGTGACCCAGCCCTATGAGGCGAGTTGTGCTGTTAGTTGTGCTTCAGTCAACGGCCTTTCGGGGCATCGCAAAGAGGCACACTGCAGCGCCAGAGAATGGTCGGCGCCAAAATCTAGGCCTCCATTGGGTAGCCAAGCCCCTCCGAAGTCCTCATTCTGGAGAGCCTTCGCACAACAGTGCAGGAAGCCGTCTTGGGGTTGTCAGACTGACTTACAGTAGAGGACACTGAACGACCACGCGATACCAAAAGCTGGTAGGTGGCAAGGAGTAGCAGCGAGAGAGCGGTTGCAATGGTGCAGAAGGTGTCGAAGGCGACTGGTCATGAATGGGGTGCGAGTGAGGGTAGCATCCAGTCCTCGATAGGAAATTGCTTTTTAATGACAGCCTCAACCTCAGCGTCCAACGCTGCGCCAGGATTTCGGAAGCTGTGGATACTACCAGCGCCCTATCTCTACATCGTGGATCGCATTGATTCTGGTTCGCTGTGTGCCACCAAGGCATCCGACTTCGGTGCAGCTTGATTATGGTTCGCAAAACCGGGCTCGCTGCGACCATACGAGTGTGTATAAATGATATCTCCTAGTTTTCTTACTCTTCCTGTTCTCCAACACACCTTTCTCATATCCTTTCCCATCCCAAGGAGTTTCTGCTAGAGCTATCAATCAGGAATTCTGGAACGTACAAGCTCAAACTCCGGCCAGGATGGGGCTTTCGCAAAGAAGTCCCGCCGCTTCAAGTGGTCGCTTGACCCTGTACGTCTATGCCCTCAGACTGCAATATGTATCCTGCTACTAATCTATGTGCAGGCCATCATCGGCTGGGGCAGGCAGCGCTGCATTCCCTTTCAACTCCTACGACGACAACAACACCACCTCTGCCGATTTGTCTTCGCTCGTTCATACTTCAGACGTCTCCTACTATATCGCACTGATATACTACACTTTCATCAATGACGCACTGCGTCGGCACAGCCACCGACAGCCCGCTTTAGGCCAAGCGCTCTCAAGCCATCGCACAGGGCTTGATGTTGATATCAGCACTCACGAGTCTCTCATCGAGTCTCATTCCACCGATGCTTCCCAGCAGGCGTCATTCGGACTGGCGCCGGGAGCTGTCGTCTGTGTGAAGACCGAGTATGGTTTCGACGATCATCGACATGCGGAAGAAGGCCAGAAAGGCTCTAAATTCTGGAATCCAGGAGAAGACCACTACCCGCGTGCCGCACGGAGGAACCCGACGAAATGGGCACAAGAGCTTGCAGGAATTGGAGCGCAGTTCGACGGTTGCCTAAACATAAGCCGCCGTCGTGACCATACCAGGGTCCCGGAGAGAGAGACCTGGGTGGTGATTCAAAAACGCAGCGAAGGGGACTCCAGATGGTGATGATAGAATAGAGCAAGCAGTACTGGGTAGCAATTGAAACGCAAAATTCAAAGCAACAACATGACTCAAAAGGACATATGTATCCCACCTCGGGTACCTTGCTACCTTGCTACCACGCTCTCTTTGCCCTGGAATGAACGAGTCAATGAGTGAGCGAATGAATTAATGCCCCATCTGTTGCTCGTACGCCGTACCGCTGCTGCATAGACTTCTCGCTGATATGGTATGATGATACGGAGTGGAAGTCGCAGCTATTGATGCGACTCGTGTGAGACATCCAGATGGAGAGAGACTGGAAGAGAGGGAACGGAAGAGAGAGAATGGAAGACTGAGAATACTTGAGCCATGGAGGCCGAGGTCACTTCAATCAAGCGAGAGTGAGACTGACTCAGCAGCGCTAGTCTGAATGGAGGTAAGTACACACGAGTCTTCGAGCCGAGGTAGTTTGTACGTAGTAAGTATACAGAGTCGATAGGTGTAGGAGTTGTATACCGGTAGTGTATAGTACCGGTATAACACAGTTACAGGACAAGTACTCCGCTCGACTCTATCCCGTCATTCCAAGAGAATGATCAGCAGTGATGCATGCATCCATAGTAAAAGCATATCGCTCTCGGGCTCCGCTACAGTAATGTTTACTTACTGTACCATACCGTACCGCCTCCCGCCCGCCTCGCCTCGTCTCGATCCAGGCTGTCGATCTCCCCCGGAAATATCACATACTTTCCTGCATTGATACGTGATCATGTAATCCAAGAGAAAGGATTCGTGGCGACGACAGTTTAACGGAGAGGTGGTACGACCTCGATACAGAGTTGGATGCCAATGCCGGCTGCCCAGACCCGTAGTTCGGCCGGGATACCCGTCGTCTGGTGGCAAAGCAGCCCGAACCATGGCGCAAAGGGGCCGCTTGGCGGCGAAAAAACTCTATCTCGCGCTCGCGCCGTACTTTACTTGTCAGATTCCCGGGGTCTTTTGCTCTTTGCTACTCATATTATTACCTTACATCATGGGCCCGTCTATTCCGGGGAGGATGTGCCGTCCCAGCCGCGGCATAGCGTGCTTGTGCCGGGAAGGGTTCGGCAGCCGGGAAGGGGAGACTCTAATTAGAAGCTAAGATTCGGTGGTCGGATCAATAGTTGACCGTCGAGCAAAAGAAGGGACGAGAGAGAGGGTCGGTGAGGGAAGGAAGCGGGGTGAATGACTAAATGAATGTCTCATTCATCTCGACGTGTTCCCCGAGATGCAGCACGTAGAGAGAGGGGGAGGGGGGGAGAGAGGAAGAGAGAGAAAGACATAAAGAGAGAGAGAGCGAGAAACAGAGAGCGAGAGAAAGAATACACGTACATGTAGACATATAACTTAAAAGAACCGAGTGAAATTGTAAATAAGCACAAAAAGTAAGAACAGTAATAGACTTGTTTACCTTACCTCGCTACCTCCTCTGCAAACAAACAAACAAACAAACAAGCAAGCAAGCCTGAAGAAGGGGTGCACCCCCACACATCCCGACCCGGTGCTCATGCTCCTGTCACGCCCCAGCCGACCTACGCGATCCCCCTCTGTAACCCCACGGGACGCTCCTCCTTCGGTGACGGGCTGGTGGCGATCTCTTCTCCTCCAGGCGCGAGGGACGAGGGGACAGGGGGGGACCAGGACCAGGACCAGGACCAGGACATGGATATGGATATGGATACTGTAAGTATACTGTAGAAGTCAGTATAGTAGGTATAGTATAGTATAGTATAGTATAGTATAGTATAGTATAGTATTTACTACTACTATTTACTACTACAACCACTAGTACCTGCACATTGCATGAACACGGACAGGTCCGCGTGAGATTAAATCAGACTAGACTACCTACTTCACCTTGCGACCGCTTGGTGACGACGGACCAAGCAATGGCGGCCGGAATCCAAAGCCTCGTCGGCGTGCAGCGCGGCGGCGCCCGACGTGCATTTCCTGGGAGGACCCGTCTCGGGAGAAATGCCAGCCAGCCATCCCGCCTGCAGCATGCAGTCAGAGCTGCGGATGGTATTGGGCGGGTAAGGCGTCAAGTCCTGGATATCCTGCAGCAGAATATCAGGCAGAGGGGAGGAAGGAGGAAGCAGAGGCGATGAGGATGAGGGAGGGAGGGAGATCGGTCAGTCGGTCAGTCCGTCCGTCGGTCGGTCGGGTCCTTTGTTGGGTGGGGGGTTACCGTCGAATAGAGTAGAGGACATTTACCGGACCGGTAGTCGAGTCCGTAGATACCAGATAGAGTACCGAGAGCCGCGACGGAGCAGACTAGACGACTCGACGACTCGAGGACTCGGGGACTCGAGGAATAGAGGAACAGAGGACTAGAGGACTAGAGCAGCTTAGAGCAGCTTCCTCTTTGGCATTGGCATTGGCATTTGCATTGGCATTTGCATTTGCACCTGCACCTGCACCTGCATTGCATTGCAGCGCATCGCATCGCGTCGCTCCTCCTCCGTAAGACTGTAATTAACTCCCTGGACGGTGGTCAGACACTAATGCCTGGATGCCTTCCACACCTCTTCTTCATTACTTCTTCTTCCTCTTCCTCGGTATCATCTCCTTCTCTTCCGTCCCCTCCTTCTTCTACTTCTTCTTCTGCTCCTTCTTCTCCTTCTTCTTCTTCTTCTTCTTCTTCTTCTTCTACTTTTCCTTCTACTTCTTCATCTACTCCTCCTCTCGCTTCACCTCCTCCTCCTCCTCCTCCTCGCTGCTGGTCAATTTTGAATGGGAGTGACATGACATCTATCTGTAATATGCCGCCGCAAGACTGGAAGAGCCACAAGGCGGAGCTGGACCACTATGTCGCCGAGAGGAAACCACTTGACGAAGTCCGAGATCTCCTCCGCGAGAAGCATGGAATCCACGCATCGTAAGGAAGCGCAATGGCTGGGATCCGTCACGAGGTATTGGTTGGTCTGACACTGCTTGAAATTAGGAAGCGCTTGTACCGGAAGAGGGTTGGTCTGGGTCCAGAAGAGAAGAGCAAGAAGAAGAAGAAGAAGAAGAATAACAACAACAACAACAAAAACAACATCATCATCGACAGAATCAACAAGTCTGCAAGCGGACACCAACGTGCGAGAAGTACCTCGAGGAGGCCGAGCCCGGGCCTTCCTCCGCCTCGCTTGACTTTAGATGGTCCTGATACTGAGACCGGTCCGTCCTCGCCGAGGACCCTCGAGACACGGGCACGGCACCTATCGGAGCGAGGGCCTTTCGCAGTCATGTCCGCTTATGAGAAGCTGTTGACGAGATGGCAACCTCAAGGCGAATCCGCGCTGTTGTGCGTTCAGCATCCCAAGTTCGACGAGTGGGTGCAGCGCTCGAATCCGGACAATGGTCCGATATTGTTCAAGCTGATCCAGGTCCTCGTCCCCCCCGAGGAGCAGCACATGCTCAACAAAGCTTTCCTGGAGGAGGATCTGCGGTCTCATGGCAACCCGGACTATCCCTTCGAGGCGTGGAGGTATGCCTGGAGGTCCGTTCTCCGTTGCCAGGACTTGGAGGAGGAGGAGGAGGAGGAGGAGGAGCATCCGGACGACGACGGGGAATGCGAAGCCACCTACTGCTCCGAGGACTGGGAAAACGCAAAGGAGATGCTGAGAGCGGACGCAACCATCTCGCAGGTGGCGGGCCAGAGATTCCTAGACTGCGCTCTGGTGGTGATGGCCGAGCGGCGACTCACTGCTTGCAAGAACGACCCCAGTCACTGGAAGCGACGCAAGTACCTCGATGTCCTCAAGGACTTCCGACATTTGGATGCCGATGTTGACCCGTCTTTCTACAAAGACTCCCTACAGATCATCGAGATGGAAGAGCAGGATAACCTCCAGCCAAGTAAGCAGCGACGGTCTGATCTGGCGGACGAATATCGCCAGAAGTATCTCCAGCTCGTGAACCGCTGTACTCCGGAGAAGAGAGGCATCAGCAGGCCAGCAGTATGTCGGAGCGACATCAGCACAAGTAGTGGTTGGAGTAGTCCATCCCATCGCCGTCATTCGCCTGCCCTGGCAAGCGATCACTACCCAAGTCCGTCGACCACCAACCACGACCCGTCCGTCCCGGCAGCGCCCATCCCGGTGGCCTCCGCCGTCTTCTCCACCCTCGTCACCAAGTGGAAGACCCTCAACGACTTCATCGAGTACGCCCACTCCCTCCTGGCCCTCGACGGCTGGACCCTCTCCATCTTCAAGCCCTCCCCGGCCGGAGCCCCCAACCTCTTCGACCAGATCACCAGCGCCCTCCCCTCCACCGAGCGCGTCCCTCTCATCAGCGCGCTCCTCCTCGCCTTCTCCTCGACGACGACGACGACGACGACGGGCTCCGCCCCCCCGTGGATCCTACGCTGGTGGTCATCCATCCACGCCTCCCCGACCTGGGAGCTCTACGAAGCGTCCCTCGATCTCTGCCGCGGTATCTTGCAGAGCATCATGTCGCCCGCCGCCGCCAAGTCCTTCCTCGATGCCGTCGTGCTCCTCGTCGGCGAGAAGATCCTGCTCGACATCAAGACGCGGCTCGTCAAGGCGAAGAAGAAGCGGAGCGGGAGCGGCCGCGACGAGCTGGCGGAGCGGACCGCCTGTAAGGTGCTGGAGAGCCAGTACATGGAGATCCTGGGGGAGTTCTATGCGCGCGGCCTGAAGGTTGATCCGACGTGGACGTATTATCTGATGAACGTGATATGAGTGAGTAGGGCGGGTCGGTCGGGTTAGCGAACGGAGTTTATGAGCTGAAAGATTTAAAAAGGGGCGAGTCGGGAGGAAGAAGAGGAAGGAAGAGATGCAGTGGAACACGGAGAGGGATTGGATTCCCTGGGAGGCTCGGGCTTCGATCGGGATGAAGTATGAAAACAGCAAAGGATGATTTTCTGTAGGATAGGTAGATACCCAGATGTGTGTGCACTACTGTATTCATCCCATCTTAGCGAATACCACGCTTTTTACTCGACGAAAAACCACCAGCCCTCCCCTGTCCTCGCTACTCATTGTAATGTATGTAAATACTCATCCTTAAACCACTCCATAATCCAGCATCATCACACCTCACGTCACATCTCACATTTGCCTCTCGCCACTCACCCTCCTCCAATCGAGAGAGGCACCGCCCAGGATATCACTAGAATTGCTACTTAACACCAAACTGCCGCTATCTCACACGTATCAAATACAAGTCTCTGGTCGCTCCCCCTCACTCCAATTTACTGCCGGCTTCCCTTCGACATGCGGCCATTTGTTGATCCACACAGTCCTTACTTCTGGAGTCCAGCAGCCTTCATGAACTCGGCGTTCATCCTAGATACCTCCTTTCTCGCCGCAATATCCGCTGGATCCTCACCCTTCGATGGTTTCATTTCCTCCACCTTCTCTGGAGCCTTGGGTTCCGGGGAGGAGCCGAGAGTCTCAAACTTCGATGGAGATTCGAGCCCAGCCTCTTCCGACTTCTCCTGCTCGGCGACGACTTTTGGAGATGGAATGGAGGCGGGCTCCACGACCAATGGCGCCTCTTCCGTACCGGGCCCTGCTTCTGAGGTGGCCGAGGCTGCAGGTTGCCCAACCACCGAGGTAGGCGGGGTTTGTGCGTCGGTCGTCGGTGTAGCTTTCTCCCTTCCGACAGAAGGTTCCGAGCTCTCTTGAGCTGGAGCGGGCGTATCTTCAACAGCGGCTTTCTCCTCAGCAACCGGGTCTTCAGCAACCGGGTCCTCAGCGACCGGGTCCTCAGCAACCGGGTCCTCAGCAACCGGGTCTTCAGCAACCGGGTCTTCAGCAACCGGGACAGCAGTCTCGTGCATGACCTCTTCGACCTGTAAACCCTCTGATTCGACTGGCTTGGATTCCTCGACCTCAGGCTTGGCAGCTTCAACAACTGGAGACTGGGCCGGAACGACCGGAGTTTCGACCGGGAGTACCTTCTCTTCTGGCTTGCCTTGAGATGAAGGCTTCTCTGCCACATTGATCGTAACCGGCTCCTTCGAGCCCAATTTCTGCTCCTTAGCCTTAATGGGACTCTTTACCACGGGCTTGGCTCGTCGAGTTGGAGAAACTTCCTTCCGGCGGCTCTTCTGGGACACCGGGCTTCCAAGAGCCGAGGCTTGCTTCATTGGTCCATCCCTCGTCACGGGCCGCTTTGCCGATTGTGATGTTTTCGGAGGAGTGACAGGCTTCTCGGCAGTTTTCGATGCCGAAGCCGTAGTCGGGCGCATCATCCGAGCAAGGAATCCTTCGTCTGCTGGTGCACTTGAGGGGAGACTTTGCCGTGAGGATCGTCTCTTCAGAGATTGGTTTGATGGTGGAGGGCCGAGGGAGGGTCTGGTGCTACCACTCTTCACTGTCGAAGGCTTCCGAGTGAGTGCCGCCTTGGAGGTAGTAGTGCTTGCTCGACTTGGGGCGCGACTTGATACGCTATGAGCTTGTCGAGAATGAGTCGATTGTATATTCCCGGATGCACGGCTGACCGATTGCCTGGTGGGTGGTGGTCCGCCTGCTGCAGCAGTCTTCGAGCCAGACGAGGCGGTATGAGCGGTCAACGATGCTGGGAGCTTGATGGGCCGAGTTGGGGATTTGGGTCTGGGCTTGACGAAGCCGGATTGGGGGGGCGAAGGCGGAATTCTGGTCTTTACAGGAGTGCCATGTGCTACGGTGGTGGGTGGCTTGCTTGCAGGCTTCGTGGCACGGCTTGGGGCACGGCTTTGGGCTGTGGGTGCTCTACTCGTTTCCTTCTCTGCCTTCTTCTCTGGCTTCTGGTCCAGAGTCTTCGCAGGTGGCTCTTTTGGTCGACTCTTAGAGGGGCTGGTTGGAGTTTTGGGTATTCTGGGAGCTGGATCTTTCACCTTCTTCGGAGAGGCTTTAGATTCGGTGGTCGAGCTTGCTGTGGTAATGGGAGGGGGTTTGGACGATGCCTTGGTCGTCGAAACCTTCTCTGCCGGCTTTGTGGCCGGCTTGCTTCCGTTTGTATGGCCATTAGGTGTTGCAGATGCTGCCGGCTTCTTTTCCATCTTGACAGTTTCCGTCTTTACGGGGTCCTGCGCTTGATTGCTGCTGCTGGTCATCTTGGTATTCGGCTCTCCCGTGGCCTTCTCCGGTGCCGTCTTTTTAATAGGATCGCTGCTATTCCGAGCATCCATCTCGGTCGCTGTCGACCGCTTCCGGTCTATCGCTGCCTGTGGATTGTCTGCCTCGTCCACGCTGAAGCTTGTTCTCCGCTTGTGTATGTTTGTGTCACCACTGGTATCCCTCTTCAATCCCAGCTGGCCTCCGTTCCTCTCGACGGCCACGAAGCTTGTCCGAACTTTCGACAGTGGTCGTGGAGATGTGCCCGTGCTGCTAGCGACCCCTTTTGATCTTATTTAGTCGGTCACCTTTCAAAGCAAAGTCGAAATGCTCACCTGTAGACTCTCCGGGAGAACGCCCTCTGTCTGGCGGACTGCTTTCCTTGTTCTGTTCGAACATGGCCCGGAGGTTTCGAACGCCGCCCGACATGGTGCTCAGTAGTTGCTTGGAGAGGACGGGAGAAGGGTCTGGTGGTTCCTTCCTTTTCAGAACTTCTCCGAAGCAATGGCTGGCCCAAGGAGGAACTCACGCATGAGCCTGGCAGGATTGTATTCAGTTGGGTGATGCTTCCAGTCGAGTCGAGTCGAGTCGAGTCGAGTCGAGTTGAGTTGAGTCGATCGAATTCGAAGAGCGGCCAGCGAAGTCGGATCCGACTCCAGACACTGTGCGGAAATCGAGGCCAGGTCACGCCAAGATTGCTCGTGCTACTGGGTTAGGGTGTCCCGTTTGTATGGAATGGAATTGCGTTGGGCGGTGCGAGATTCACAGATTCACAGATTCACGCTGTGAGATGTCGGGCTGGGATGGTGAATGAAGCGGAAGGAAGATGGGACCGGTAGAAGTAGAGGAGGGACGGGTTTCGTAGGGGTATGTATAGGTAACCGGTACAGATGTAGCCAAAGCAACACGCTGTCAAAGCACAAGCTGGATGTCCAGGAAGTTATCAGGACCGTAGGTCGCTTATATTGTATTTATATATAAATAACCCGGGTAAACCGAGGTACGTATCCGTTTTGTTGATTATTGTCTCATATATGGTCAGGACTTTATTAAAAAAAAAAATACCACATCACATATCACAACACAGCGCAACACCGCAAATTACTAGTAATTATAGATCCAACTTAATGCAATACTCCGAACGTGCGGATGTGAACCGAGTTCAAGCTGAGACGTGCACAAGGGCATGGGCGGGACGGCGTGGCTGGGATTAACTGGCGTCGGGCCTTTACCTCCGTACGCCCGATAATAATTTCTCAGCCTCATGTATGGTTGGCGAAAGAAGAAAAAAATAAAAATAAAAACCTACTGCACACCATCCGTCCATCCATCTACACCCCACCCATCCACTCCTCCATGGCTGCCCGAACGCTTCGCATAGGTAGGCAATGCCCCAATTGATCCAGGAGACCACACCCACCATATCATCCCTCTGACCTCCTCCACCCCAAAAACATAGGCCTCATCCCCGGCGACGGCATCGGCAAAGAAGTCATCCCCGCCGGTCGCCGCATCCTCGAGGCGCTGCCTGCATCGCTCAAACTGAAATTCGAATTCGTCAATCTTGAAGCCGGATTCGAAACCTTCGAGAAATACGGCGCCGCCCTCCCAGACAAGACCGTCGACATCCTCAAGAAAGAGTGCGATGGCGCGCTCTTCGGCGCCGTCAGCTCGCCCTCCAAGGCGGTCAAGGGCTACTCCTCGCCCATCGTCGCATTGCGCAAGCGCCTGGACCTGTACGCGAACGTCCGACCCGTCAAGAGCGTCATGACGGCCAAGAACCCCATCGACATGGTCATCGTGCGGGAGAACACCGAGGATCTGTACGTGAAGGAGGAGAAGACCTATGAAGCGGCCGATGGCAGCGGGAAGGTTGCCGAGGCCACCAAGAGGATTTCCGAGCGGGCTTCATACAGAATCGCGACTATGGCCGGCCAGATTGCGGAGCGCCGACAGAAGCTGCGGGAGAGTGGTGTTGCGAGCATACACAAGGCGCCGATGGTCACCATTACCCACAAGTCGAATGTCTTGAGCCAGACCGATGGACTCTTCCGCTCCACTGCCCGCGAGGCCTTGGCCAAGTTTCCGAGTCTGGGCGTGGAGGAGCAGATCGTCGACTCGATGGTCTACAAGCTCTTCCGCCAGCCAGAGACTTACGATGTCATTGTTGCGCCCAACTTGTACGGAGATATCTTGTCAGATGGAGCTGCTGCCTTGGTCGGCTCGTTGGGACTGGTGCCGAGTGCCAATGTTGGAGAGGGCTTCGCAATTGGAGAGCCATGCCACGGAAGCGCTCCGGATATCATGGGCCAGAATATCGCCAACCCCATTGCAACGTTGAGAAGTGTGGCCTTGATGCTGGAGTTCTTAAACGAAGAGACGGCTGCCGCCAAGATATATGCTGCGGTTGATGCCAACCTGGAGGAGGGCAAGTACTTGAGTCCTGATCTGGGAGGAAAGGCTTTGACGAGTGAGGTGGTGGACGATATCCTGAGACGATTATAGATAATTTGTAGCTGGGATGTACAGATAGATAGACCAAAAGCAATGATTTGATCCTTCAAAGTCCGATTCCTCCATTTTATACATTTCGTGGCATGTCTCCACTCGTCAAGCAGATGAATTAACGGACGCCATCCATACCGCCCTGAAATACACGTATTCCACATCCTTTCCGAGGTTTGCTTTGGAAAATCTGTTGTGCGGCGGCAGAATTTCGCACATACTCACTTCCTCCCTGTATCCCTCTATTCGCCGATTGCTGCGAAGAACCAGCAGATCATCTAACAGGAGAGGCTCCGTCGGTCCCAATGCTCTTTTTCCATGGCCGTCTCTATACTCATATCCATCCCCTCCCCCCTACAGAACTCTGCACAGCAACATCCCTCCAACCCTCCTCTCCACACACTCCCTCGCCTCCAACACCCCCTTGTCGGTACTCACAAACATACACTCTCCCGGCCGCGTCAAGCCCTTCACAATACCGGCCTCCCTCCCGCGGATGATCCTGCCCAAGCCCTCGACATCCATCCACACCCGCTTCGTCGGCTTGCTCACCATCTGCATCTTGCTCAGCACGGGCTCGTTGTTCCAGTACTTCATGCCCAGCCAGAGCCGCCGCGTCGAGATGTTGTCCTGCGTGACGGGCTCGGGCGTGTACGAGGACAGGTCGTCCATCGGGGGCGGGTGGAGCCCGCCGCGGGTGACGGAGCTGAGGAAGCCGGACGATTGGAGCGCGAGCGTCAGCGTGAGGATCATGTTGGTGGAGGGGACGGAGGTCAGCCCGAGCCGCGCTTTGGACGCGTTTTGCAGGTGTGAGCAGACGTTCGCGAGGTGGACGAGGGACATGGTGGGCGTCGTGGCCCTGCTGGGCGCAGTGCGGTTGGTGGGAGAGGTGGGTTTAACTTCTTCTTCTTCTTCTTCTCTGGAGTGTGCTGCTGGGTGCTGGCGGATTGCTGCTGTGCTGGGTTTCAGTCTATGATTGCAGAGGTTTGGGAGTCGAGATTTCTTCGTACCTGCACGGGGATGCAGCGTTCGTGAGAGCGTGGTTGTGGATTTCGTTGTCGTTGTTTTTATTGAATGGGAACGGAGCTTTTCCCAAAATTAGTACCTGGACTCGATTTTGCGCCTTGCGCTAAAGATCGGATCGTCTTGGCCTCGAACGTTCATATCGTCCGTCCCATCAACACTTTGATATATGTAAATAATACCATTATCAGACTGCAAGAACTACTGGTTTTCAAGTTATATTTTTTGCGATCTTGCCAGCCCAGCCACATACTTGATTGCTGTTTCACACACGCTTGAATGAAGCCAGCTGAGCACATACAAATCACTCTCCATCCTTCACCCTCAATGCACAGGCTCGATAACATACGGCCTCGGCGTGCAATACTAAATGCATTGAAGATAATCATTGCTTCGGTATCAGTATCATGCATCTGGTAGCTGACTTTGCGAATCTCTCAAGCGACACCTCTGCAGATGTCTTCTTATTTCATCCTGCCCGCCGGCCGGCTATTGAAGTCGATGGCGTTACATCGAGAGCTGAACTTCATGCGAGCAAATTTTTTCCTGTAGATTCCACATTGCTTGTTAGATATGGCGTTTACAGTTACTGCAGAGTAGCAGTAACACAACTCGGCTGTGCCGATTATTATCTACTCTTCTCGCTTACAGTAAGCATTACCTTTGGCTTCTCGGCTACCATCTCACGAAGTACTGTTCTGGCCTCAGATTCTCAATTCTTCTGCAAAGTGATGGGGTTTTGAAAGCCTTCAGGGGCGGTGCAGCCTAGCTGTGCGTACGTAGATATATATGCCTGGTCTCTCTCAAGTTCTCTCTGCTTATTCAGAGCCATCTTCGAGTACCTCGGCCCCTTCGCTACCTATATATCAGTCTAGTTTCTTCATTTAAGCTTCTTGTCTTCCGAGAGCAACCAATTATCTTCTCTAATAGCCTTCCCCCTCGCCTGGCAAGTCTTTGCGGGATTATGGAATGAGAACCTACTTCTAGGCGTCAAATCCATTCGCACCTGCCAAAGAACCTAGAACGAAATCACTTGGCTGCGTGGCCCTGCAATATCTGCCGAATATGCGTTCGATTCTACCAAGATCGATAAACTGGAATCTATATCTCTCTGCGGCATAGGCTCTGACAAACGGGACTAAGTCTGCTCTATGATCTCAGTCTTGAAAGATTCCGGCTTTGATTTCGGAGAGGGCCTGGATAGTTACCTACCTTCTACGCCTAGAAGTTTGGATCCGGTATCCTGATCGGGTTCAGGGTAGGATCTGGTTCAGGGGAGCTCCTGGTAGCGAGATTAACAGCAATTTTCCTATCTTTTTGAAGTCGCTGATGGAGATGTGTATCGCTAACGTCAAATATCTAACCTTTGATACCAATAATACTGCCTTTTTGCAAGTGCATATATTAGCAACAAGGGAGGCTCGACACAGCGGCCCCCTGTAGGACTTTTCTTTCGTAGGAGAAAAGTGTGTCAGTACGATTACGATCTGAAACCAGAATTTCATTGGAAAGAGGTTAACTTGAACGCTATGGCGGTCCCATCGGGAATCTTGATCAAATAATTTATTCCTTGGTATGATAGGTAGAGATAGACCACATCACGCTCAATCCCAGCGCCAGCCCTTCCCTCTCGCTTAGGAAAGTAAATAGAAGCATCTTCATGAAACGTCACTCCAAAACATTGGCTTACAATCTAGCTGTTCTGCTTTTTGTTTCAAAATTGGATATTTACACCCCTGATTACCGAGCGGTTATTTATTTTGTCTCTTTATATGTACTGGTAGTTCGCTCAAGTATGCTAGCGGCGAACTCAATAGGTGTCCTGATAGATGTCAGTATCCTGGCACTAAAAGTGCATCAGAAGAAAAACATAGCCCCCAACTCAAGCTAGCTTGATTTCTGAAAGGAAGACAGTGTGAATGCTAATAACAGGAGAACAGATAAATGTTGCTTACTTGGATTAAATTTGGAGAAAGCAGAATGACAACCTAGCAGAGGCCGCGATGATTTGTATCTTTGTACGGCACAACTTGGAAAAGATTGGTATTTCACACCACCCAGTCCCGTCCATGGTCAGGAAATCAAAGACGATCTGCGAAGCTGGCGATGGCTAGATTGTGACTTGCAACCCAAAACGGCACCTCCTGAGAAGAACTCGGGCTGAGGTGAATCTGTACTGCAATATCAGTCTTGGCCTCAAGTCAATATGGGGTGAACGGCTCTCTACGACGAGGCGATAGTGGCTTTAAATATTTGATTTGTCTGTTAAATTGGTATAGATATCTGGCTACGATATGCACCCCCGATACAACGGCTGCTTGCATAGCTTCCATGGTACTGCCACAAGCCCCCAGGGTCTATGTATGGGATAGAGTAAAAAGACTGAAAAGCCTTCGTTGATTGTCAGTCATTCTTGAAATAGTGACGCCCTCCTCGAACCTCCGAGCGGGAGGAGAGTAGGTTCCTCTCGGTGTAAACTTCCGTTTGCTCTCAATTCGCGCCCGGTCCGCTTGCTAGACCAATTTCTCAACTCTACTCAGCTATATACCCATCAGATACCACTGGACATATATATATAATTAGGAAGCTACAACAGCTATTCCGAGTGGAAAAGTAGTATCGTGTCAGTTACTAACATTAAGATCTGTTTTTGGACCGTCCCGAGTGACAACCATAGTGCCACCAACGGATATAGATAACAAGTGACGAGTCTCACTCGCCGATCATATTCCAAACGGGCGCAACGCGAATATGTCCCCAATGCTCGAAACCGACAAAGAGGAGAACACCCTACCCCATAGCGTATTTTTCATCTAAGCAAGCTACTACCTGAAACTGTCACAGGAAATGCTCGGAAAAAGAAAAAACGACTTGGGCAACTCTCTGTGCAGGGCCCGGAAGCGAGCAACAAAACACGGATAGGTCTGGGACGGAATAGGAGAGCATACAAAATAAAATCCAGCGACGAGCAAGCTCCTATGTTTATATCCCCAGACTTGAAATTGAGAGGGGGCAAGCTCGCTGGTCTGCCTCTGGTGATTAGTTACTGTATTATCAGATGGGGAAGGGCAGCCTCGTGTATAGGTATGTATATGTCGGGTTCCGAAACCATCAATCAGCGTGTGATTCTAACGCGCCCGGGCTGGATCGATTTTGAGCAGCTGGGTAGAGACCGCGGCCACGGCATGGAGAATGACGCTGAGACCGGGCTATCTATCATGTTCGGACTCCGACTCGGTGCATTCCCCCGTTGATACGATTACTCACGTGAGACCGGCGGGGTGTCTATGATCCGACCTCAACCTCATCCTTATCCTCACGCGTTACACGGCTTCTCTTCCCCTCCTCTCACTGAATAGATAGAGATATATATAATCTATGTCTTGACCGATACATCTACCGCGCTACAACACCCAGCCCTCTCACCCAGCTCTCGCAACAACAACAACACTCATCGCCATGTCCTTCTCCGTGAAGCCCTTGCCCCGGATCGCCTGCTTCCACGGCGGTGGGAGCACAGCGTCCATCTTCAAGGTGCAGTGCGACCAGCTCCAGAAGCTCCTCGCGAGCACGTACGAGTTCGTCTTCTTCGACGCGCCCTTCGAGCGGGATGCCGGACCCGGTGTCCTCCCCGCTTTCAAGTTCGAGGAGTTCGGGCCGTACCGCACGTGGTTCTCCCGATCCAGCGCGGACGTGGAGAGGGGGGATGGGAGAGGGCCCGACGGGAGGGGGGAGGGCGGCGTGGAGAGGGCGCTGAGGCTGATTGCGGACGAGGGGGGCGAGGGCGAGTGGGCTGGCGTCATGGGATTCAGTCAGGGCACGAGGGTCGTCGGGGGAATCTTGCTGGATCAGCAGAAGAGGAAGGAGATGGGTTTGCCCAAGGCGGAGGGCGAGCTGGAGTTTCGTTTTGGCATCCTGTGTATGGGAGGGGCTGCTCCGATGGTTTCCGATGTGGTGCATGGTAAGTGCCCACCGACCGAGAAAGAAAGAGAGAGAGAAAGAGAGAGAAAAAAAAAAAAAGTTAGGTAGGTGGTAACTACTGGCTGATGAGTGTGAGTCCTAGCTTCGTACTCGGATAGTTTGATTAACATCCCCACGTTGCATCTCCATGGCACGAAGGATGGCAATTTCGAGAACGGGAAGAAGCAGTGGAAGACTTATTACGAGGAGAGTTCGACGACTGTGTGGGATATTGATTACCACCACGCGATGCCCTGGTATCGCGCAGACGTGTTGAAGTTTGTGGATCTGGTTCGGAAGTTAGACGCAGATACGCAGGCGACTGTTTGACAGCTCTGTTAGATGGATAGACGGACGAGACACCAGCATTACTTAATCGGACATACGGGACATACAGGACACGGGTCTGGGGGACTAGACATGGGATCAATTTAGAAGTTACTGGATCTGTTTTGGCCCTTGTCTGTGGCAGGCCATCGTTGTTCATCGCCTCCGTAGACATTTCCCACTCTTCGCGATCCGCTTAGCCATCCCACGGTTCCGAAATCGCACGACGTGAGGAAGTGAAGCAGATAGATACTACGAGCGGTAAGTATAAAGAGTCGATGGCCCTACATCACCCCATCAACTCTTCACTCATCCCCTATTGCTGGGCTTGAGCCCGTACCAGCCATCCAAGCCACCAGTACTCACCTCCGAGACGTTCTTTTCCTCGCGAACGGAGCAGCAACTGCGCCAGAGAGAGGCTGCGCTCACGAGTCCTGGAATCAACACACGATGGGGGAAAGTACTCACCCGTAGGCGAGATTCTCCATCTCGCGGCGCAGGCAGGTCAGGCGCAGGTTGGAATAAGCATTGCTAGCCGACTCTCGATTCCCTAAATCCCCAAGACGGCGACGACCACAACAGCGACAAGGCTAGTAGATACTGCGATAAAATATCCGCTTCATCACTTCCGGAATTCTCACCCCGCATTCTCATCCCATATTCTACAGAATGGATGAACAAACGAGTCTGTAGCTGCGACGCACGCGTGGATCTGGCCGAGACAGTCGCCAGTCGTCTTCGGTACGACGGTTCACGCTAAAAGCTAAAAATGGCGTTTTGGACAAGGGGTGATGCGACCTACGTAAGGGTTAGCGAGGATTTTGTTTTGTAAAAAAACAAGTGGAATAAGTAAGTGAGTAGGGATGCAAATGTCATGAATGAGCGCTGAAAGCGACATTGTAACCATGGCTGATAGTGAGTATAGCTCGCAAATATCTCGCGAGACTGGGGGCCAGATTTCAATGCCCCTTTTCTATATGAAGCACGATAAATGTATGCAGTTATCAGCTGAGATGCAATCCTAAATGACTGTTGACATATAGGCGATAGAGACAGTAGCAGAGACAGATATTTCGAAGGGCTCTACATATGTTCATATGCACAACCTCTTCAAAAACCAGCACCGTCTCTGTGTAGTAGTACAGCAACAGCCAGCAAAAGGCAGGATAACGAGGATATGATTCCGTTTATAGAAACCAGTCGCCATGGCAGGACGAAGCCAGGCTCTGAGCAGGTACACGCGTAATATTACAAGATACATGGCAAGAATGTCGGGGTATAATTCTCTACCTCTCAATCAGCTCTCTATTCTGGCGGCGAAATACCGATAAAGAGCGCCACCATTAATACATCACACATGTGCTTCACATGTTCCTTTCGGATTGACCCAAGGCGACCCGAACGCCGGCAATGCACGCTAATATTCGAAAAGACCCGTGTCCCCTTTCACCCCCTTCACTTTGTTTCACCTCAGATGGCGGTATGGCTGTAAGGCTCGTACGCACCGTTGCCTCCCCGCGCCACCGGCTTCACATTTTGCATGGGGACGCCGTACTCGGTGGTGGGCTGCTGGTTGTAGATGCCGTGTTGCGGGCCGGAGAAGCCGTTGTTGTAATGGGTGTTGTCGGCAACGCGTTGGTAGGCGCCGGTCGGCATGAGCTTCTCCTGATCGGAGCTCTTTCGCTTGGAGGAGCTCGAGCGGTCGTTGGAGGCGCAGCAGCAGGTACTGAGCAGCCAGAAGGCGCCCGCGCCGACACTGAACACGACTGCGAGCCAGGTTGTGGCGAGGAAACTGGTGTTGATAGAACCCTTGACCCCGTAGGACTTGGCCGTCGATCTGACGGCTGCGACGACGACCGAGGAGGAGACGGTTGCCATGATGGAGGCGATGATGATGGTGGTGGTGGCAAGACCGGAGACGAGATATGTAAAGCACGATCCGACTCGCGAACAGAAGCCGAACAGGCCCAGGAAGAGCTCCAGGCCGCAGGTGATGGCGGCGATGATGTAGACCACCTGAGTCCATCTGGAGACGACTCTGAAGGTCTTGAGAGCACTCCTCAGCTCCGACGGGAGCTTGAGCGTCTTGCCGGTCAGGGTAGAGGCGGTGGATTCGATGGTACTGGCGTTCAGTTTCGTGGCGGCCCAGTTGAACTCGGGACTGGTGCAGTTGCGCTTCCCCCCCGTCGTGGCACAATAACTCCACATGGCCACCTGGTAGGAATCTGCGAGGGCGAGATCCGCAGCGGTGATGTCGGCGGACGCGTCTACGTTGGGGCTGAGGGCGGCGACGGTGAGAGCGGAAAGGGAATCGTCCCTCTTGGTGAGGTCGACGAGGTTCTCGAGCGAGGACGACGAGATGGAGAGATTCTGGGTCCGGATCTCGAACATGTCCAGGTCCTTGTTGGTAATGCCGGCGAGCATCACAATCAGGATACAAATGAGACTGGCCAAGGTCAAGCCGAACGGCATGGCCACGCAGACAAAACGACCGGCACCCATATTGTGTGGTTGTGGATGGAGGGATGGAGGGATGGAGGGATGGAGGGATGGAGGGATGGAGGGATGGAGGGATGGAGGAATGGAGATGTGGTGGTAGTGGTGGTGGTAGTGGTGGTGGTAGTTGTGATGGTGGTTGTGGTTGTGGTGGTGATAGTTATGGCGGTACTGGGTAGTGCGGTGGTGTTGTGGTGTTGTGGTGTTGGGAATGTTTTGATGTTGGCATCGTGGGTTTCATTTGGAGGCTTTGGTTTATATGATACCGCCCTTGCTCGTTGACTGGGATCCGGCGGGAAGGCTGAGCCAGGGAGCTCGGACAGGCCTCCCTCGTGTGGCTGAGTGCGCACTTACAGAGGATACTACGGTACGTACTACGTACTTACGTATGACGCGGGGAGCATGAAGTTGCACTTTGTGGTAAATGTTATTAGTTAATAGTTAGTTCGTTGTCTTACTTCCACACGAAGAACACGCATCTGTGGCCTTTGTTTACATGGCTTCGGCTGTCCTTTCTTCCTCCATCAGAGACCGACTGACTACGATCGATGTCGAGATTTTTTCTACATGGTACTGTAGACTCCCATCAGCTGCTACCTAGGTACCTACCTACTGGCTAATGCTCGCTCACTCGGCCCTTTTTCGCCTCTCATATCTATTTTCGTCACATCACCCACCCCAGCAACGGCACGACAACAGCCACTTGCTTGCGTTGCCTGCCCCCTGCAGAAATGCGTCGATGCACCTAAGCCACCCGGGCTGCGTCGCGCGACAGCCCCAGGACCCTCATCTCACGTACACTTGTGAGGAGAGGTGAAGTATAAAAGTCGTCGCAGTAGCTTTCAGCAATCCGAGTCAGTCGATAGAGCAAAAAGGCGTGAGGGATCCAGAGGCTTCCGCCGTCAACAACCAGGATCTGCAGCACCCAGTGCAGGGGTGTCGGTCGTGTCTGAGCTTCATCTCGAGATCCCGTTGCGTTGGCTAGGTGAGTGAAGGAGAGGCGCTTGGGTGTGCTGTAAGGTTGTGCCAGACAAGCTTCGAGCTTGAGCAAATAAACCTACTTCTCTCCGTACAGGGGCACCGGTATATGCAATTTCACCCATGATGCAGATGCTGAACATGAACAGACAGGACCTACGGAGTAGGCAACCCAAGGCCCTCGGTATACGCAGGATCTATACCTATGATTCTCCGTCATATCCGGCTCATCTTCTTTCTTGGCAGGCGATAGCATTGCCGACGAATGTGGATCCAGCCGACAGTCATGGACTGATATCGGATCTGGGAGCGAGGGAGGATCTGGAAGAAACAATTGAGAATAACGGGGAGAAACAAAGGGCGCCGTCGAGTGTATGGTAGAGGATGATCGAGCGATCCATGCTAGTTAGTACCTATATCATGTGGATTTGTAGCCAGCAGGAACAAGATATATAACCCACTCACGGCTCACCAGCACCGGAGAGACATTGGGCATTGCACTCGGGTGCTCTTGGAACAGCTGCTCCCTCGTAGCATCCGGTAAACAACAACAGAGAGGAACCTTCTCGTCCAAGGAAAACGGTGGGTTGACAGGTTGTGTATGACTGCAGGCCATGCTCGCAGGCTTGGGCGGAATGGTGAAGGTGGAATGGTGAAGGTGGAATGGTAGAGGCGGAACAGTAAAGGCGGACTGGGAGAGAGGTAACCCGTACACACACCATCGTGAGGGCCGACCGACACATGAATCGTACCCTACCCGCAGTTCCGCAATTGTGGGTGCACCACAGTGGGTTTGGATTGCCCCCCGAGGCATTGCACCGCGAGACGGTGGCGGAAGGAGTCAAGGCATTGACGATGCAGACCAGAGGAGGAGGTGGAGGAGGAGGAGGATCAAGTTGGATACGAGGAGGATGTTGATGGGTTGATGGGTTGATGGGTTGATGGGTGGATGGATTGATGGGTTGATGCGCTGGTGGGTTGATGCGTTGATGCGTTGATCGGTTAATGCCTTGAGAGGGACCACGATGATTGATTGATTGGGAAGGCGGTGTGACGGGAGCTCCAAGTGCTTGGCTGGCAGAAGGGACAACTCCGACCCGGCCGGAGAGACTGTCAACAGGCCAGACGAAGTGCACGACGATCACAATCATGATCATAATCATGATAATAATAATAATAATAACAATAATAATCATAATCATAATAGTCTGGAGAATCATCTCCATAAGCAGTGTAAACAATAGCCCAGGCCATCGTGCCACGACGATCGATCGATGGGGAACCACGAATACCGTGTTACAGACTGTACAGGACGGACAAGAAATAATACATACATACCTTCTACCTACCACCGGAATCCCTCGCGCCCGATTCCTTCTACCTCTCCCTCTTCCTCTGCCTCGTCCCCGTTCATCCTCTCGACATTCCAACTACCCGAATACCAGAACACCCCCCCCAATCTACCTGCCCTCCGTCCTCTCCTCTCCTCTCCTCTCCCTCTCCCTCTCCCTCTCCCTCTCCCTCTCCCTCTCCCTCTCCCTCACCCCGACCCGCCAGCCTGCCTGCCTGACTCTAAGGCCTCCCGCGCTCCTTGCTGGCACCGCCCGACCGCTTTGAATACACGCTCCCTCCACCTCAACTTCCCATCCTTTCGCGCCTGCAGCCACGCCCTGTTACTGTCTGCATCTCGGGCTCACAGAAGACACTCCGATCCAGTCATTGATACAATTCAATCGCCCCCTCCTCTACAGAGTCTAGCGACGAAGGACAAAGGCCCGGGCTGCGTCGAGGCGGAACACACGAAGCCAGCAAGCCAGACAGCCGCTCGATCGATTCATTGATTGATCGATTGTTGAATTGATTGGTTGCGCATCCAAAACACCATTGATCGACGGCACAGGCACAGCCAGTGACAGGCCGCGCACAACGCGAACCGGAGAATACCTACAAGTCGACCAACCGAGCAAAGCAGCCTCACCGTCGGGAACCCGAACCTCAACCTCAACCCCGGATCCCTAAATTCGAGAGCCCTGCCATAACCCCGGAGAGGCCTTGTTGGATCTCGACATCCCCTTCCCAGAGCAGATACACATACACGTACAGCCGTCCCTACACCGAGATGGGAAACCAAAGCTCCAAGGGCTCGGGAGCGAGTACGCCGAGGGGCAACCATTCCAGCACTTCCTTGGACCGAGGAGCAGAGAACCTATCGTCCTACCCTTCATTCAGCAAAGCAGATACCAAAGAATCCATCAGATCCTTCCGCGGCCTCAGGTCCAAGATCCCTGGCGTCAAGACCGATAGTCCTCGCAACTCGATATCGAACATGAATCCGGGAGATACACCGGTGGAGCGATCGGATGCCACATCAGTGAAGTCAGCCAGAAGCTCCCGACCTGCTTCCAAGGGGACCGGAGATCTAGATTCTTCAGCGTCGGCCAGCTCCCCCGGCGCGGACTCGGAAGATGCGACCTCGCCTGCCGACGGCTCCGAGCCCCCTCCATCCCCCATACAATCGGCATCTGTGCGCGAAGGACATCACGATGTTGATGCCGCACAGCGAAGCGGCGAGGTGGATCACGTATCGGACAAACCACCCTCCGGACAGGCGAACCCCCTGGCGCACTTGCAGCGTGCTGGTGCATCGATTCTGGTCAGGAGAGAAGGAGAAATCAACCCGATCGAACCAGGCGCCGCTAAAACCGCACCCGCGGCAGATGAAGGAAGTGGCGGAGGCGCAATGGCAATGGATGAGATGAAAGACTCCGATGTTGACGACTATATCAAGCGCTTATTAGATGCGGGATATGCCGGCAAGAGCACCAAAGGGGTCGTGCTGAGGAATGCAGAGATCAGTTCTATCTGTTCCCGAGTGCGCGAGATCTTCTTGCAGCAGCCACCGTTGATCGAACTCGAGGCTCCTGTCAAGATTGTAGGCGACATCCACGGACAGTACTCGGATCTCATCCGGATGTTTGAGATGTGCGGCTTCCCACCGAGCTCCAACTTCCTCTTCCTGGGTGACTACGTTGATCGAGGGAAGCATTCGCTCGAGACAATTTTGTTGCTCATGTGCTACAAAATCAAGTACCCCGAGAACTTCTTCTTGCTGAGAGGCAATCACGAATGTGCCAATGTCACGAGAGTATACGGGTTCTACGACGAATGCAAGAGAAGATGTAACGTCAAGATTTGGAAGACATTTGTTGACACCTTCAACTGCGTAAGCTTCCCCTTGCCCCCCCTGCCCCCCCCGCCCTCCTGCCTACGGCTAAGATACCCAGCTCCCAATTGCCGCAATCGTCGCCGGCAAAATCTTCTGTGTACATGGCGGACTGTCCCCTGCTCTCAGCCACATGGACGACATCAGACACATTGCTCGGCCGACAGATGTGCCGGACTTCGGACTCCTCAATGATCTCCTATGGTCAGATCCCGCAGACCAAGAAAAGGATTGGGAGACTAGCGAACGGGGTGTCAGTTACTCCTTTGGAAAAAAGGTCATCGTGGACTTTCTTGCGAGACACGATTTTGATCTGGTTTGCCGCGCACACATGGTGGTCGAGGACGGGTATGAGTTCTTCGAAGACCGGATCCTTGTGACGGTCTTCTCTGCACCGAACTACTGCGGGGAATTCGACAACTACGGTGCTGTTATGAGCGTGTCGACCGAACTGCTATGCAGCTTTGAACTGCTGAAGCCTTTGGACTCTAGCGCATTGAAGAGCCAGATGAAGAAGAGCCGCAACAAGCGTAACAGCATGCTCAACAGCCCACCCCCATCGGGTTTTGCACCCCAGAGTGTCTAGTCTGTGTGAGGAGAGTTTGCGACAAATCAACGACGCTCTATCGGCGGCCCACGCATCTCGCTTTCGGCCCTTCATCTGACATGAGGAACACTGCTGGGTCGTAGCACGCAACGATTTTGGTGCGCCAAGTGCCATTTACAAGAAAGGGAGAGCAACAGTTTTGAAACGAGAATAAGCCTGAAGGCCCCCGCGATTAGGTCGCCCAAGATGGCTCGATGAGATCGAGCTGGGCAACGACCACCATCCTCTCTCTTTGTCTGTTCAAGATCCATTGGTTTGGGTCTGGGTTACACTGGCGTTTTTTTGAATGACGATTGTCTAATCCTCTTCCTGTTTGAGACCATCGATTTTTCTGGACTGGGCAGCGGGTAGGACACTCCGTTATTGGTTGGGAAATGGATGAGCGAGGGAAGCATACTTGATGTGTGTATTTGTATTGCGAGCGGCCAGCTAGTCATCAGATGAGACGAGAGAGGTGCGCTGCTGCTCGATGGTCAGGCTCTCAGCACTATAGATGAGTTATCTGATTTAATCGACTGTTCACGAATGTCACTGGCCATTTCAGAGTGGTTCGTAAAGTCTCCAAACAACAATACCATCGATTGTTTTGATCAACCTCAAATATACGGGTCCTCGTCCCTAGCCACCAATTTGATTGGATGGTTCGCAGATCAACATGATCTTCGAATCAGAAGCCGCCTTCTCAGTGCATAGCAGATATAATCCAAGTCAGTCCCTATAATAAATGATTTCCCGAGCGGTAAGAAACCGTTGGTCTGCGGAAGGCCCCACCCAACCACAACCACTGAAGAAGTGGGTATTATCCGCTCGGTTATTTAAGCTTATATCTCTCGGCTCCGAAGACCCTGTAAATGAATGAATGCTTGTCAAAGAAAAACTTGATACCTCGCTCAGCCTCGCATGTCCCTCCACCACCTCCGCGAGACACCACAGAAAGCCACTACAAGTCTTGCGTGCAAGTGCAACAAGAACCACCCAAAACCACAAATCCAATACAAATCAGCAAAGATGCCGGTCTCAAAGAAGATGAAGGTGAGAGAGTCCCGTTTGCTTGCGGGGGTGGGGGCTGGGGGTGGGGTGAAAAGGGGCCCGAGGTGCGGCAGCACAGAGGGAGTCGGAGGAGGGCGGAACGAAGGAGGGTGGAAGAGGCCGCCCGCCAGCAATCGAGAGGCCAGATGCTGATGGCCGTACGAAAACACAGATTCAGCGCGAGCACCGCAAGGCCGAAGCAGCAGGCACCAGAGCCCCCGTCAAGGCGAACGGTCTGCCCGTCAAGGCGCCCAAGCCAACGAGTATTGTAATTACTCCAGAACGAACTCCTCTTGCCCGTTGCCCATCCTTCTTTTCTTCTTTTTTATCGTGGCTGATCCCAGCTCTACCTGCCCGGGACTCCTCGTTGAGAACTTGCGAGTGGCGGTCTGGACGTGGGAATATTATGAGGGGGGGAGGGGGGGAGGGATGGAAGGAGGTGAAGGGGTAGAAGTGACCAGGGCAGGGAAAGAGGAAGAGGGTGAAGGATGGAGGATGACCACAGGCTGATTGTGCGTGCGATATAGTGCGCCAACTGCCGCAAGGAAATCGTCAATACCAACCTCAAGCAACTTGAGGTCCACGCCGAGACGCACGACCAAAAGCTCTGGCCCAAGGAGAAGTGCTGGCCCGATATCTTCAAGGCCGCTTCATAAGTCTATGCTCCCAGCACATGGGAGAGGGAGGGTGGAAGGGAAGATGGCGAGCTTGATGGATGGGTGGCATAGCAGCTCTCGTCTGATGAGCGATAAGACGAATTGGCTATTGGGGTCAGGTGTGGATGGGAGTGAATTTGCACCGCACATGGCTGCATGCGGTACGTTTACGTGACGAATGCTTTGCTTTAGGAATGAGATAAGAGATAGATGGACCCGAGGACCGGCAAATAAAGATTGAGATGAATTCGATGCGATAAATTGGCATCGTTGCTTTGCTGCTGGTTCTGCCGCCCAGACTTGACTTAATTTTCATATATGGTAATATCAAAAGATTCTATTCCTATAGTTGTACATTTTGACGCAATGGTCACTAAATCGGTATAACAGTGAGCAGATCATGGTCTTAAGAATTTTGTCCATCCTGGACGAACGAGTCACAAAGATTCTGTAAACGGGCGTTTCGTTATGAGTTTCTAACATATTTGAAACGTGCTTGTTTGTTCTTAAGCCCGGCCCGTCTCCAAGTCGAGATCATATATCCACGGATCATTTGTTGGCTGGTTCTTCTCGTTCATAATCGCAGCATTGACCATCAGCGTCTCTTTTCCAAAATCGATTTCCACCTTCGAGCTGCTGCTACACATTGGGTATCCGTTCACCCGAGGCCTCTTCTCATCCACGGCTATACTCTCAACACCACCAGTCTCTCTCCACGTGACGATCTCCGCGCCATAACCCTCGTGTTTTATGTCCAAAGCAATGCATCCTCGGTCTCGCTCGAATCGGATTATCGCATCCCATCTGCTGCCCGTCGGCACATCCATCCAAGATGCCTCGCGGCGGCCCTTACGTCATAACTATATCGACTGACGGAAAAGCTAAGAAATAAGGTTCTCGCTGATCGAGGTCGTCCCTCCTGCAGTCTGGCCCGGCAGATTCTGCATGTCTTCGTCTCTCCCGTACGGAGCCGCCCAGTCGCCGAACTTGGGCTGATACGGGGACGCAGAGACGCTAAAAATTGTGCCCTATCGCGCAAGGTGAAGTGAAGGCATGCGCCCGCTTCGTCGAGATCCGCGACGCCCGCGTCTCGAGCGAGTTTTCCCCGTCGTGATGTCCATCGCCTCGGGGTGTTGGTTCCCTCGCGTTCCGGCTTCTTTTGCTCCTCCTCGTCTTCGATCGTTTTCGAGGTTCTGCCGGTGTTTCGGATCGAGGGCGACGGATCGTGGTTTCCGGCTATAACGAGCTTCTTCAGTTCGGATGAGATTTGGCGTTACATCTATCTAGAGCGACGTTTTGTGTTCCGATAGGCCGTCGACCTGCCTGAGATTGCCACCGTGGAGCGCTACATCGGCCTTTGGCATTGGGCCGCGAAATGGGCCGTCTGGTTTTTGGCATTCAAAGGACGGTGGGTGGGTGTCGGGAATGAGCAGGAAGCGGACTGATATCGCAGTAGCCATGTAGAAGACCCGAGTCGATGAGGGATCTTGACGAGTGAGGCTGTTCTTGGAAACGCTTCTTGTAGTATGAAACTTGAGCGGTGTTTGCAATGTCCTTTTTTGAAAAGGTGCAGATTCCAGAAAATCGTCCTTTTATAGTAGCTTGTGCGGATGTAAACTAGAGCGCGTAAGTAGTTAAAACATATTGCAATCTAGGCCCTGATCTAGTCTGGAACTGATAAGGTCCCTTTTGCTGAATCTTAGAAACGCTCGAGAGCTTTTCTTGGAAAATTGAACACTGGGTAACATTTTTTAAATTCAAAGTACGATCTATAATTATATAGGCACCGAGTATAGTTTTCTTCAAGAATTTAACGAAGCTAGAAGCCGCCAAGAAAGACCTTTGCAAAAGGGTTTTGCAAGGAAGACAAGGGAGTCAGTCTTTCTATCTCGGATAGAAGACGGTCAAGACCTTATGCAAGAAGCGAAGAAATCGCAAATCAATTTTAAAGTCGCTTGTTACGGCTGATGTAAGGTAATATTATAGTAGCTCCCAATCACTACGCCATGTAATGCGAAAGAAAGACGAGGAAGAAAAGAACTATAATGCAAAAAGGACGAAAGGTCTTATACCGTAGGTGTGACGACTTTAAGCGATTACCTGAAGGGACTCACGGGAGCGCGAGGGTCACATGAGAGCTTAAGAAAATCTCAAAGTAATAACTTAGAATTAATAATTACCGAGTGTAAAGGTCGAAGGTAGCTGAGGTCTATATACACCAAGGTAAGAGCGCTAAGGACTCGTGAACTATAGTTTATAAGTTAAAAGAAAGGAATGAAAGAATACGAAAAATACGAAAGGAAAAAAAAGAAAGAAATAGCTTAGCGCATATAAAGATGCGTTTCAAAGACTTAGCGTATCGTCATACTACCTTTCCGTTCGAAGAAAGCTCGCTCTCGACTCGAGCCGCTTAACTTTCAGCCGCTTAACCCTTAGCCGCTTAACCTTTAGCCGCTTGACCCTTAATCGCTTGATTTTTAATTGCTTTATTAATCAACTTAACTTATCTTGCGACGCGTTATCTCTTTTAGCTATAGTGCTTAGTATATCGGCAAAAAAAAGGTCGGTCCGAAAGCAAAGGTTCGTTTAATAAAGAGGCTATTTAAAAGTATTAATAAATAGACTTAATCGCGATAATCCAGTTTACGATTAATAAGTTAATAATTTTAAATAAGAAAAGGACGACCTTATAAAGTAATCAATAGCGTTGTATTTAAAAGCGTAGCAAATAAGAAAGCGATAGTTGTAATTAATTATTAAATAATAATAAAAAGAAATCAGACTTTACTTTATAAGGTAAAAATTGCGCGGGGCGGCCGCCTTATCTTAGCTGCGGCCGCCTTATTTTAGCTACGGCTGCTTTATTTTAGCTGCGGCCGCTTTATCACTTTATAAATTTATTAGCGGCCGCGCTAAGATGTTTTAGAAATAAAATGTACGAGTTCACTTTTAAAAATACACTTTTATTTTATTACTTTTAATTTTATTATAAACAATTACTTTTTACGTTTAGCTTGCTTATAATATTATTTAATATAGCCGCTTATTAGCTTGATTCGATATAAAGTATTATTGCAAAATTCAAATATAGATTAGCTTAATTTGATAAAAAGGATTGAAAAATTTATAATAAGAATCATTTTTTTATTTATTAATTTATTTACTAATTAAAATCGTTTTTCGTAAGATGCGGTTAATACAACGGCAATCGTAGCAGCAAGTAATCCGGTGCCAAGAAATCTTAGCAAGCGCAAAGTAAGTATTTATTTTACGTAGTATTTTAACTTTTATTTATTTATTAATTTTTCTTAAAAAGGAAAGCTAAAGAAAAGCTAATTATTAACTAATCTTTATACAATAAAAGCTAATGCTCGTATAGCCAAGTTAAAACAAAATCTTTAAGCAGATAAGCTTCGAAAAGCTAAAAGACGAAATCAAGCGGCCGCTAATCAGCTTTTTGCAATTTAAAAGAAAACCTTAAAATATTTTTAAGCATTAAAAGCTGAAAAGAAAATTCGAAAAGCTGAAAAGAAAATTCGATAAGCCGAAATGCGAAAAAATCTTATAAATGAACGGTACTTTTGTCGGATATGATCAGGTGATAGACTTATTACGTATTAAGACCTTTCCAGATGTATAAGTAAAGGGCTACTTTCCAAGTTTATTAGATAAGAATTAAAAATCTTTTTATTTATCTTTATTCCTCGTGTTACCGTTTAATAAGTTATAAGCTTCCGCTGCGACTTTTTTAGCGCCGAATATTATTGTCACCAACGGTGACCTAAGATAAATTCTAGTAGTTATGGTGGTGATGAGTCATCTAGTAGTTGTAATAGTGGTTAATCATTTAGTAGTTGTAGTAATGATTAGTTATCTAGTAGTTGTGGTAGTGGTTAGTCATTTAGTAGTTGTAATAGTGGTTAGTTATTTAGTCACGTAAGACTATTTTATACGGATCTAGCAAGATTTGCAAGCGTGCTAAGACTTTTATTTTATGTTAATTTATTAAACTTTTTTCGGAACGGGTCGGCCCGTTTAATTCATATATAACAGCTAAACTTAATCGAGATAAATGGTTTAGCAGCACGCGCAGTACTTTATAGCATCTGCACGTATTAAATACGTACTTAACTTTTTCGTCTTTTATTATCTGTTTAAGTATTATTGCAACTTTTATTAATTTATAATATAAACCTTCGTATTTGTACTCACACGCGATATATACTTAAGAACACCTTTTAGCTTATTATATTATTTTAAGACTATAGTTAAAGTAAAATATTCGCTTTTTGCAATAATTGTAAAGCTAAAAACAAAGCTTTTAAATCTGCATATAAAGCAAAACATCCTTTACCTCCGTTTAATGACGATTACGATCTATTAGCAAAAAAGCCTCGCGGCCGACCTCGGCGCGCTTTAATTGCAACCTCTCTTTTACGAGCCTTTTTACGAAAACCACGCTCTTTACGATATTCATTATTGAAGCCTGGTCACTTTCACTTTACGCAGCGTACCTTTTGCAAATACTTTTATAAATCATCTTTTTTATTGCGGCGTACTTTAAACAAATCACTCTTTTTACGCGATCTTGCAATTCGGCTTAGCCCGCTTTCGCTTTTTCTATTACGATATACGCGTAGGCTTGCTCGAAGTAGTAGCATAAGTGGTTTTAACGAAGATACACATAGTAGTTCTATGCGTAAGCTAGCGCTAAGTAGCATAAGTAAGTCTTTCTAGCCAAGTTACTAAAGTTATTAAAGTTATTAAAGTTATTAAAGTTATTAATGTTATTAAGGTTTCGATTCTACGGCTTAGCGCGTTTAAGATTAAAGTTTCGGCGAAGATACATACGGTTTTATACGCGAGATTGCTTAAAGTAGCATAAGTAGTAGTATAAGTAAGTCATTTTAGCTAAGTTATTAAAGTTATTAAAGTTATTAATATTATTAAGGTTTCGATTTTACAGCTTAGCGCATTTAAGTTTTAAGTTTTGTTAAAAGTTTATATAAAAGTATATATAATAGTTTTATGCGTAAGCTTGCTCGAAGTAGTAATATAGTTAGATTTAACGGAGATATATACGGTAGTTTTATGCGTGAGCTAGCGTTAAATGATATAAGTAAGTCCTTTTAATGTAAATACCCTGCCTGATGGGGTACTTGCTATGGCCACTAGGGCCACACTAGACGGACCTATCTTCTATAAAAGAGCACACATTTCTTAGCTAAAACAATCAACGAGCTTTCCACCTACTTTTTTTAACACTTCTTTTATAAGACTATAAGGTCTAGCTTCAAAGCTAAGCTTTTGTACAACACATCTTTTAAGTGCTTTTATATTTAATAACTTACGTAAAGATTCAAACCTTTAGTCTTTGTTTTTATATAGCTTATTATAATCGCTTGATTCGCAGTCAAGTTGATCTTCGTTCATTTAGCACTTCACTTTATAATTACAACTTTAAAACAATTAAAACTTTATTCTCGATAAGTTCGGATATCGAAACGCCGAAATAGCCGAAGTATAATATTTCGGCTCTTTAGCAAAAACTCTCTTTTATTATTAATAAAAAAGAATTTTCACTTATTAATAAAAATACTTTTTTATACTTTAACTCTTATCTTGAATTAAAGCAATTAATATAATCCGGAGTTATTAGCGAAGCTAATCAATTGATTCTTAAGTTTTTTATAGTTTTAATTTTAATTATTAGTTTACTTTTGTATAAGGTTTATTCTTTTTAATCTCGAATCGAAAATACTTTGCGAAAATCGCTTATTTTACTCGTGAACTCGGTTTACGAGTTAAAATCAAATAATTTAAAAACCTTTTATCAACTTAATCTTTTTTAATATACATATATATTTAATCTTTAAAATATCGAAAACCTTTTTAAGATTTTTAATATCGAAGTCAGCGTAAAGTCACTTTTTTTTTCGTTAAAATCTTTTGAATTTATTAAATCTTTTAATCGTATTCTTATAAGCTTCGGATTATCTTTATTTTACTTCGACTTTTAACTTGAACTTTTACCGCTACTTTTATCGGAAACACTTGCTTTAAAAATGCTTTTTAAAATGAACACCGGTTTTAAAATCTATATTACTCTTTTTCTTTTTGCTTTTTTTGTTTTTTTATTAAGCTTTGCGCTAATTATAATCGACTTTGCTATCTTTTACGCTTTTATAACTACTCGCATGCTATTATTAAGTGCTTTAAAAGCTCTTTGCTTTAATAATACTAATATTATCGATTTCATCGAGAAGTACGAAAAGACTTATAATGACTTTAATATTTTTAAAGATGATCGGTTTATTAAGCTCTTTCGTTATTACGATAACTTTCGTAAAAAGGTTATTAAAAGCTTGCTCGAATAAAAAGCTAAGAAAGATTAAGCTGCTTTCGTTAAAGCTTTAAAAGCCGAGTTTCGTAAAAACGATATTTAGCAGATTAAAGACTT